TATAGTCCCAGCTACTGAGGAGGCTGAGGCAGGAGAATGGCGTGAACCCAGGAGGCGGAGCTTGCAATGAGCCAAGATCCCACCACTACACTCCAGCCTAGGCGACTAAGCAAGACTCTGTCTCAAAAAAAAAAAAAAAAAAGAGAGAGTATTTCCATGGGCCGGGTGCAGTGGCTCACACCTGTAATCCCAGCACTCTGGGAGGCCAAAATGGGCAGATCACCTGAGGTCAGGGGTTCGAGACCAGCCTGGTGAACGTGGCAAAACCCCATCTCTACTAAAAATACAAAAACTTAGCTGGACTTGGTGGCTTGTGCCTGTAGTCCCAGCTACTCAGGAGGCTGAGGCAGGAGAATCACTTGAACCTGGGAGATGGAGGTTGCAGTGAGCCAAGATCATGCCACTGCTCTCCACCCTGAACACAGAGTGAGACTCTGTCTCAAAAAAAGAAAAACAGACAAAAAGAAAGTATGTCCATGATGTTTCTGAGAGGAATAACAAAGTGAGTAAATTTTATTGAGTCCTTGCTATGTGACACTCACTCTGCTAGGCACCCCACATAAATGATTTCTTTTAATGCTCACAGTAATCCCGTGAAGAGAGTACTGGTATTAACTCCCAGAGGAGACTGAGGGTCAGAAAATTAAGTAATTTCCTTGAGGTTACCCAGCTAATAAGCAGCCAATGTAGGCTGAAGCTGTAACTCACTCTACAGGGGTTGAGAAATCACTCATTCTATGTCTGAATCTTTTTAATTCAAGACTTACATATAGGTCATTGTAGTTTAAAATGTGCTTTATGAACCCAAAATTTGGGTTATGATCTACCAGAAAACAACTTTACAACACAATTGCACGGTTAAGGAGCTACTTGTGTGTCCTATAAGGCATGCATACAATTCCAGAAATATTCCAGTGGGAATAATTTTCTTCACCACCACATGACTTTCCCTGGTAACGTGTTCCGCCTTCTCCCTTGTTTTGGGGGATCTTTTAGGTTGAGAGAGGGAGAGAAAAAAGAGAAGAAAGACGATGATGATGATGACGATGACGATGATTATGATGATGTTGATTGCAGTGGTGGAAGTGGTGGTAGCTAACATTTATTGAGGCCTTATGTGCCAAATGCTGTTGTGAGTGCTTTGTGAGCGTGATTTCATTTACCCATCAGAAAAAGTCTATAAAAGGCTAGTTAGTCCCCATTTTCATCAGGAAACTGAGTCTCTAAGAATGTAAGTAACTTGCCCAAGATCACAAACCCAGGTGGATGTTAGGGCCTGTGCTCCTAACCTCTACACTGTAGAAGGAAAGAAGAATTAAGTGGCAAATTTTTAGATCAGCCTTCCAGCTTCTTTTAAATAGAGCCTTCAGATCCAGTTCAGCTATTGAAGAAGTTCCCACCTTTCCAAGAGCCTTGTTGTCTATGATGGGCATCCTTTTGAGTGACAAGTTCAAAACCTTCACAGAATTTTCCCCAGAGGGCATATTTTAAAGGAGCCCACGCTGTTGGGGGCTTTATTTCTTTAGTGGTGTTTTTTTAGGATTAAAGTAGCTTTATTTAGCAAGTTTCAAATTAATATACTTGAATTAAGGGAAGGCAGTAAAGGAGTAGAAATTATACTTAAATACTTAGTACATGTCGTCAGCCCACAGTTCTTACCTCTACAGACTTAGAGTACATTTTACCGAAAAGTTAGTGCCCAGGTGTTAGGGTAGCTCTGGAAAAGGCATATCTGAACCAAGGACTAAACAAAATGGGGAGGACTTACAATATTTTATTAATTTCCTCTTTTGAAGAATCATAACAAATCTGCTGCATTCCCATCCATCTCAAATAAAGCAAATCCAGTTAATAAGCACTGTAAGCCCCGTGAGGAAGAGCAGAACAACCCAGACACCAAAGATTGTGCTGATAAATGTTTAATGACTGGCTTTCTGGGAGGGAAAAAGCCCTGGTTTGTGGCATTTGCCAATTCCCATGATGATAAAATCCCCACGAAGGCCTATTTCTAGCTATCAATGTGATATCCCTAAATGCGGAGTTGGGAAGAGATGTGCAAGATCGGCTGTCATGACCAGCAAACACACTACTCCATCCCTTACGGAGGAGGAATGGAAGAGAGTCCGCTCTTTCAATGCAGTGGCTATTGTGGAGAGCTCCTGCTTCTGGAGGCACTCACTGTGTGACACCAGGCAAGTCACTTCACCTCTCTGGGCCTTTGTTTCCTCCTCTACAACAGATAATGTGGAAGATCCCCTGTACCTCTAACATTTTAAAGTTCTAGAAGGCAATGCCTCCTGCTTTTTCCGACATCCAAATGCCTTGAAGCGCCTCTCTGGAAAACCAAGTTAGCACTGTGCTGCATCCAAAAGTGCCTCCAATTTCATCTCCTGAGCATAAGGTTTGGAAAGGAGTGACTTACTCCCTTTTGCCTCTTTAAATGTGTAGCCAATGGGGCATCATACATTTTTTACACTTCTTTTGCTAGATGTGAGATCCAGGAAGGAAAGCATGGATGTTCCAGGGCTTTCTTGTTCTTCTGGGGTGGCAGGCTGCGTGTGATGCACTGAGCCATTGCTGTATGCAATTTCTACCTCTCTACCCTTTCGGCAGCCGAGCAAGATTGTTGATAGTCTCCTACCTTTTTATTTTTATTTTTATTTTTTACTATCCGGAAGCCATTTACAAGAGTGGGAACTGCTTACATAAAATGGAGGGGCGGCAGGGGGTTGTGTTATTTTTTTTTTTTTTCCTGAAAGGTGGCACGTCTCTCAGCAAAGAGAAAAAGGCATGTTGCACAAGGCTTGCTGGCAGTGATAGAAGCCAGCGCCGGTTTGCCTGTTGTCACAGCCAAAGCAAAATGCCACCTCTGCCTAGAAGCCAGAGTGCCACACTCCTCTTTTGTGTCCCTGAGATGTACCCACGATGAGGCCCTGGAATTGTAGGTTTGGCCAGGAGGTTGCCAGGATTGCTTGAAGGTCATCTTCCAGTCCCAGGAGGCTGGGGGTAAGGGGAGGTTGATCATAGTTCTCAAAATAGATCTTTTGAGTCCCCTAGATTACATGTCAGCTACAGCTAGTAAATGTGGAATTTGAGGCCTTGGGTTAGCACAAGAGAGCCCCCCAGGTGCCAGGAGTAAGGTAGGGCTGCAGGAATACCAGTGACCCAGTGATCACCCTGTCCCTGGGCCCCTTCTTAACAAACCCAGATGCAGTAACAGCAAAAGCTCTAGAATCCCAAGGCAGGAGGTGCCAAAAACACCCCCCAACAACCACTACCAAAAAATTTTTTTCAGTAAAATGTTCTCACCCCTAGAGGGGAAAACCTGTCCATGCCTGAAGCAGCTTGACCCCAGCAAACACCCTGCCTCCATGGAGTGAACTGCAAATCTCAAAAAAAAAAAAAAAAAAAAAAAAAAAAAAGTACTTCCTACCCCTCCTGCTCCCTGGGGAGGGACAGAAGGTTCCTAAAACTGACAGTTTCGCCTCCATGATCTTTAAAAGAGCAGAAGTTGGCTGTGAGGCTGCAGTGCTGCCTCGATTGGGGTAGTGTGGTCTCTGCTGCGGCTGGGCTCCAAGGAGAGCCACAATTGGCTCTGATGAGGAAGGAGCCTAGAAATGAAAGATTGCAAAGAGGGCTTCTGTACACCATGGCTGAGACTGTGTCGTTTCTTGCAAGGTGAAACTTGGCAGTTCTACCTTGCAAGTAAAAACCTAAATTAATTTTTTTTAAAAGAAATTAAGTCAGAAACAAGGCTTCGGAAAAACTGTGAGTGTTAGGCATAAACTGATTTTGGATGATCTTTAGGTGAGAAAGGGTGGAGTTACCATCAGAAACATGTTTTTATTTATGCTTTACGAATCCCCACTGGTGTGCGATGTGTGTGTGTGCGCGCGCGTGCATGTGCGTGTGTATTGGTTAGCATGAGAGTATGCATCATCTCAATTCTCTAACCAATCTTTCTTTTTTGCATCTTTTCTGTGCACAGTTCATATAGATCCCCTATAAATAAATATATAGGTCCATCCACACCTTTTCATTTTATTTGTAAATTGTTTGGTATAAGCGGCAGAGCGTAATGAAACCTGGTGAAGTTTAAAAGATTAGATTTTTTTTCATACTGACACTTCATAACACTGTTCATATGTCTCCGAGTGAGATTTATGAATATATGAGCAGTACTGCAAAATTATACTGCACCAGAGACTTCCTGCACCACAGGGGTGGCAGTCTAAAGTGACACAGCTTCAAGCATTTTTCACAGACAAGAAGCAAAATTTAACCCCCTTAAGGGGAAGTATGATTTCAACAGCTTGAAATGAGCTCATTTGTAGATGGTTTTTTTTCTCTCATCTTCCATAATTTTTTGGTGTTAAGATTAAAACAGATTGCACAGCCAATGTAAGGGCACATAAGCTGCCCAGAGTACAGTTTGGCCCTTAAAGAGAAATCTTCATTCATTGTCTTTATCAGCACTCCTCAATCAGGTAAATGAAGATAAACTTGCCCCTAAATTCCTAAGGCTGTCAGCCCAATTTCCAGTATTGTACTTAGCAGACAGGATGTGGAATTTTCAAATGGTAAGTGGCAAGGAACATCAATTAATCCAGTGGAGAAGCCTCATCTCTCTGGCACCAAAGACAGTGACATTAGGAAATAATTAGTGTCTTGAATCTAAATGGTGTAAAATTGACCAATAAAAAAAAGAGAATCAGAAGAGTGAAAGATGGTCTTTACGAATTGAAACATAAGAAATGTCTATCGTGGAAGAGTTCAATTAGATTCAGAGTCCAAACTGGTCTCTCTTAGATTGGTCCAGTATCCAGTACCTTGTAATTTTGTATAAACTAACGTTCATTAATCTCTATGCTCTCAAATTCTCTTTAACCATTTTGTTTCCTCCTGGAACAGAGTGGGGTACTCAAACATTGCCTGCTCTCTCTCTGCCCTATGAATGCTCCATGATGTGTTGGCTGGAGAACTTTTGTCTCTTTTTTCAGCAATGGTACAACAGCTCCATGAACGTGATCTGCACCTGGTTGACGGACCGGATGGACTTACAGCTTCACATTTATCAGTTGAAAACACTAATTAGGATGGTAAAGGTAAAAGAAAAAAATAATTATTCTTCTTTGCAAATAGCTTACTGAAATACATTTCATTGGCAAGCTGCAGAGCTTGCTTAACACAAAGAATATTAGTTTACATATAAAATAGTATCTCATACAGGAAAAACCTATGCAATTGTTTTGTGAAGCATGATAAACGTGTTACTCAGACAGCAGAGGGAAATTTAATACAAATGAATTTGATATCATTTTCCAGAGAGGAAAAATACTTTGTTTTTGCCGTGCAAAAGTACTGCAGAGGCCATCGTGTCTCTGCATTAGACTTTCAAAAACTGGCTTTTGGTGCCATTATGTTAATCACATCCATTACCAGTTTCGTTTATAGTTTAATTAAATAAAATTTTGCCACTATTAATTTAATAGAAATATTTACCCCCAGCTATTTCTAAATATGTCCTGTGATCATTATCAGAATGCAAATCAATATTGTTCTCATAGTTAATTGAAGTAGTTCCTCTTACAATGCGTGTATACAATCAAATGTAAAGGATCGCAAAGGTGAGATAACATACCCTGAAAGTAGCTTTTTCCCTTGTTCTTGTGTGTGCGCCTTGGACTAATGATAATTATTTCAGCGTGAAATCTCAGTGGTTTACATGAAATAATAAGATCACAGAAGGGAGTAAATACATTTTTGATCATTTCAGTTTCCATTTGATGCTTCACCATAGAGGGTTTTAAAACATTCGTATGCAAAAATCTCATTCAAAGCACAAAGTCCTTTAAAATATTTTAACAATAAACGTAGCTGAATGTCTTATTTCTTAACAGTTTACCAAAAGTCCCTGCAACACCCACTCCTGGGCACCCCACCCCCACCCCATTTCTTAGTCTCTTTTGGATCAGTACCATTTCACTTTACCCCAGAGCTTACGGACAACCAATTGCTGTTCCGTTGTGTGTAATTAAGGAGAATTATTATTATTTGCATTTGATCTCACAAAGCATCCGCCCGGGAAAAGTTATAGACAGCAGTATATTACAGCTCTTAAAAAAGGAATGTATACACTCAGACTATGGACCCAGCCTCCTTTTCACATTTTTTTTATTTCAGTTCCTTAGGACCAGCTCAATAGTCAAGTGGTCGCCTGACCACTTGAATTCCATTTTCTGTGCATAAATACACTTTGGGAAATTTTTCTGTTTGACCCTTATTGGGTAGACGTGAAAAGAAGATATAATTTTAATACTTAAAAATTGTCTTCCCATTATTTCTATTTCCAGATTGGTATTGGAAATTAACAAATATTTTACAAAGGGAAAATATAAGTCAGAGGAGAGGTTTAATCTTAGCCTTTTGCCAAAAAAAAAAAAAAATTTGATATGAACCACAGAGAAGGGATACAGAAATGTCACTGCCAAGGGAACCCCTTCACTTTAGCAAAAAGTGGGTTCCGGTTAACTCATGCCACAACTCAGAGCTATGAAGCAGAATTCACAACCTTTAAACCAAGAACATCACCCAGAGGCCTCCTCCTCCAGGGCAGATTTCCAAGGATAATTGGTTTTCTTTCTTGCATCAACAGCCGCTTCATTTATTCATCCATTCATTCATTATTCAGCAAGCATTTATTTATTCATTCAACATTGGATAAATATTAGGTGAGCCTCTACTTGTATATTACCAGATGGAGGATTCAAAAATGACTAGATGTGGTCTCTGCACTTAGGCATTGAGAGTCTAGTTGGTATACACATTGCTATGGAGTTTGAATAAAAAAGAGAATACTCAAATGCTTTTACCTTTATTTTCCCCATCATATTCTGGCAACAATTATGTTATTCTGAGTGGCAACAGAACAAATGATTGAAAAGTATAAAAATTTAAGTTAATTGTCTGGATATCTGGTCCACACCATGCCTAACATTTACTCAGTCTCTTACCTGTCCCCATCAAAGTGAAAACACAGTTCAGGTAGCTGTCTAGCTTCCTCTTCTCGGCAAGCCCTGCAGGTTGATGCATGATTGAGGATAACCTTGTAATTTAATGTCTAAACCAGATTACTTTTATGTTATTGGACTTCACTAAGCTGAACTGGGTTCACTCGTTAACTCTATAGTCATTACAACATGTGACCTTTAAGAGGGGTTGACATTATGATTGTTACTATCATGACTGCATTAGATGGACTATTAAAAATAGAAATAATGGGCCGGGCGCGATGGCTCACGCCTGTAATCCCAGCACTTTGGGAGGCTGAGGTGGGCAGATCACAAGGTCAAGAGATCGAGACCATCCTGGCCAACATGGTGAAACCCCCGTCTCTACTAAAAACACAAAAATTAGCTGGGCATGGTGGCCGGTGCCTATAATCCCAGCTACTCAGGAGGCTGAGGCAGGAGAATTGTTTGAACCCGGGAGGCAGAGGTTGCAGTGAGCCAAGATGGTGCCATTGCACTCCAGTCTGGGCTACAGAGCAAGATTCCATCCCAAAAAAAAAAAAAAAAAAGAAAGAAAAAAAGAAAAGAAAAAGAAAAAAGAAATAATGATGGGAGTGGTGTTGATGTATGTTAGCATTCCTTGTCTTGCCCCTTTAGCAAGTTTCCTATATCAATAGGAGAAACAAACAGCAGAATCAGTAGCTGAAATGATATGCAGCGTGATGAGGAGAGTTGTAGTTAGAGAGAGACCTTTTAAAAAAAAAAATTACGAAGTAGACAATAGCCAGATGATTCTGGTCATATTCAATTAACACTGAAGGATTTCTAGAAAAACAGTCCTTGAGATACCTAAGGAAATCTGAGAGAAACCGCCTGAAGGAACAAAGAAAGAACTTGTGATGCGGTAATACCAAGCCATTGTTCTTGAAAAAGAGCCAAATTTCTTCCCTGAGACCATAAAGTTGTGAACGGAATAGATACAGTTCTTTCCCAAGGAGATAAGAAATGAGTCACATGCCTGCAACATATTGATGAGGCATTAGCGCTCCATCTTTCTCATAATTGCTGCTGCCTGTGATAGGTTTCATATACCAACATACATATGTCTGTCTTGTGAATGAGACAGAGGGATATCAGTACAGCTCATGCAGTTACAAGACTCAAAATTACTAAAACCAGACTGCAACAGAAATCACAAAATACCATAATCGCTCAATCCATTATTTATATGTTATAGCCCTTTCCTGTGTCTATCATATTACATTACACTAACCTAAGAGAAAGAACCAGTCCACAAAAGGAACCAAAACAATTATGGAACATTTCCCTTTGTGGAACTGAATAAATACAAGCTTATGTTCTTTGCTTTGTCTCATCTAATATAGTTTATCCTGTCACTATTTCTCATTTTCTGTCATTCAAAGGATCTCAGTTTTCAATACAAGTGAAATCTAAGCACAGTGGCTTTTTATTTGACAATGCATAAAGTGTGATGTTTAGCTGAAGGTCAGTGCTCTCACACCCACACCTGCTTTTACCTTCTCCATCCCCATCATGGAGATGAGATCTCTCTTATCACTGTATCTTTTCCCTCCTTAGAAAACCTACAGAGATTTCCGATTGCAAGGGGTCCTGGACTCCACCTTAAACAGCAAGACCTATGAAACAATCCGAAACCGTCTCACTGTGGAGGAAGCCACAGCATCAGTGAGCGAAGGTGGGGGACTGCAGGGGATTAGTATGAAGGACAGCGATGAGGAAGACGAAGAAGACGATTAGACCGTTTGGTCCTAGAGTCCGCTGGGACAGAGTCCTGTAATCAGTGCATGTCCTTAGTCTGTTAGTTAAACCCATTAGGGAATTTTCTGTCAACTACCATGCCCATGAGATGTTTATCAATACAACTGCCATTTTAGCTATGTGGTACCAAGATTAGCAAATGACCTTCATATCCACTGATTTCCTGATGTCCATGTCTATATGTTTACAAGCAATATGGAGCACCATTCTTTAAATACTGTTCATGGAGAATACATAGTCTTACCACTAGGCGTGTCCCTGTTATCAGCAAAGATCAATGATGCTTCATTAATGTACTGTGTATGCATTGGTGGTAAATGGATGTGAGGGCAAGTATACCAAGTACATTCACTGTGTTTCACGTATGTGGATGCCAGTTAATTAAATGAGTACATAAATAAATTAATTAAAACACATAGATCTGCTTTGTGTTTTTATTTTTATTTTTTGAAAAACAAAAGGCAAGTCTCCAATGATCAACTTTTGATTCTTTCTGTTCCCCTAAAACTAAAAAATGAACCCCTTGTGTCCTTGTTAACCCATCCTTTCATTTACTCAAATAATTAGCCAAAAAAGGATGGCTACATACCAATGGATTGATTCTCTTAATTGCCATGGCAAGTGGGCAATCCTATCATGACTTAACATCAAGCACACAGTTCAAAACTACTGTCTTCTGTCAAAGTTTTCTCCTCTTAAATGTTATTTTGCTTTTATGTCTCAACTGTGTATGTAAAAAAAAAAAAAAAAAAAAAGAATATTTAAATTACAACCCTAGACTAAAAAATGTGTTTATAATAAGATGTGGATATTTCCTTCAGTAGATTGTAACCATAATTTAAATTATTTTGTTCCACACTGTTTTTTATATCTGTCATGTACATTGCATTTTGATCTGTAACTGCACAACCCTGGGGTTTGCTGCAGAGCTATTTCTTTCCATGTAAAGTAGTGGATCCATCTTGCTTTTGCCTTATATAAAGCCTACAGTTATGGAAGTGTGGAAAACTGTGGCTTCTCAATAAATATTCAAATGTCCTAAGAATATACGTTTGGGTCTGTTTTTCTCTGTCTTCTTTGAATGCCAGAACTGAAACACAACAAGAAGAAATAGGAAAGGGAGGGAAGAGGTAATTTTCATAGAGTGTTCTTGAAACTGTTGGAGTGGGTCGTTTTCAAATGCTCGTAGTTCTCCATGAGAGACTGCCTAAAATTCCGCTAATTCAGACTCCACTAATTCAGAATCCGTGGGCATTTGGACATGTTGGACAGATTACGCTTGCATTATAGGATAAATAAGGGTTTGCTAAGCAAGTAAGTAGTGTAAACGAGAGAAATGTTTCTCCTGTACGAAGAGAAGGCCAACAAACTGTTTTTAAGCACCACTTTAACAGCAGTGTTTGCATTCAAACAAAGTGTGTGCCAATTATATATGATTCTTATATATTTGTTAAAGCATTTTACAAGATTCTCTAAGACATGGAGTACTCTACTCACTCCTCAGGCCCTGTCAGCAATATAGTCACCTAAGTTTGTAAGAAATTAAACATTTTGTAGCCTTGTTTGCTTTATTTGCGTCTGTCACTAAACCAGGCTGATCCTTCCTGGAAGCTGACTGAGGCTTTAGGGAAACAGCTACTTTTCCAACAGAACCAGGTAGAATGGTCACCAGGTGTTCCCTACAAAATAACCACTTTAGACAACATGTCTTGCTCTGTTTACTTGAGGTCTGCAGGTACAAGGCAACAGTACTTCCTGCCGTTGTGGGCTTACAAAAAGAGGTCCTATTTATTGAACAACTATGCTATGCCAGGCATTCTGCATATATTACCTCATTTAAATCTCACAACAACCATAAGAGGAGAGAACTATTGTTATCCTCATTATAGATTAGGAAATTAAGTTCAAAAGGGTTATGCTAACTTGCCCAATAGTTAACTCTATGCAGAAGCATTAATCCAGAGATAAGAGCGTAAAACTGTTAATACAAATGGTGGGGATATGTCTTTCAGGTATGACAAAACTTTCATTGCCCAGGGGCACATAGTTAAGTCAGAATGGCACAGCCAAGATTTTTGAAAACATATTTTCATTATATTTTGAGTTGCAAAATGAGATCATTTATCTTGTAACAATTAAAATTTTTTTATCATTTTTTTTGAGATGGAGTCTCTTTCTGTCGGCCAGGCTAGAGTGCAGTGGCGCGATCTCCGCTCACTGCAACCTCTGCCTCCCAGGTTCAAGCGATTATCTTGCTTTAGCCTCCCAAGTAGCTGAAACTACAGGCATGTGCCACCATGCCCAGCTAATTTGTGTATTTTTAGTAGAGACGGGGTTTCACTATGTTAGCCAGACTGGTCTCGAACTCCTGACCTTGTGACCAGCCCACATCAGCCTCCCAAAGTGCTGAGATTACAGGTGTGAGCCACTGCACCCAGCCTACAATGTTAAAACATGCAAAGTAAAGAGGGAATGTCTGTCCAGTGTATGAAAGCAAAAGGAGGAAAATGTTCAGGAGCCCTGCAGGAAGGCTAAGTGAATGGGTTAGATAACTAACCAAAGGGCACGATGTAAAAGTCATTAGGAAAACTAAGCCAGAAAAGACTTGGTCTCCAAAACCAAGGTTAAATTAAAAACTTCCTTCAAAAAAAGATTTCACTGCCTTGCACTGAGGATCCTGTTAAATAGCACCCCCAGCAACCCTGGGAAAGCGAGTATGGGGAAGGAAATGACATCAGAACACATCAGAAAGCACTGACCACGTTATCCTTGACCACTGCTGGCCTCAGTTTATTCTGACCACAGATGCAAAGCCAAGAAGACAGCTTTGATATTACTTTTTGTTTCTTTGGGATGGTATCTTGAGTGATCTTCTTTTTTCTTTTTTAGTTTTTTATTATACATACAAAAAGTGCATGAATCCTAAGCCTACAGCTCAATGATTTATCATAAAGTGAACACACTCGCGGAACAACTACCTAGCAGAGAAATAGAACATACCGAAGACCCCCGAGGACCCCGTGTCCATGCTCTTTCCCAAACTCTACCCACTCCTTACACCCCAAAGGTAACAACTATCTGATTTCTAATGGCATAGAATAGATCAACTTGCTTAGTTTAACCTTTTTGTCATTGCAATCACAGTACATATTCTTTTGTGTCTGGATTCTTTTGCTCTACATTACATAGTTGGTGTAGTTGTGGTTCATTTATTTTCATTGGTGTATAGTAGTCCAAGGTATACATAGACCATAATTGATTTAGCCATATAAAAATATTGTTTTACATTTTGGGCTATTATGAATAATGCTGCCATGAATTTCCTTGTATGTATGTTTTGGTGCAATTGCTGGGTCCTGGAGTAAAGGTATTTTCCTTTTCAGAGGATGTGGCCAGTTTTCCACAGAGGATGAACAAAGTTATTGTCTCACCAGCAGCAAATTAAAGTCTCCGTTGTTCCACATTTTTGACAACATTAAGTGTTGTCACTCTAATTTTTGCCATTCTGGTAAGTGCTGTGGTGGTTTATAATTGTAGTTCTCTACCAAATGAAGTTGATTGCCTTTGAACTTGTGTATTGGGAACTTCGATAGCCTCTTTTGTGAAGTGCAAGTTTAAGTCTTTTTAAAACATGCAAAGTAAAAGAGGGAGCATCTGTCCAGTGTATAAAAGTTAGCAAAAGTAGGAAAATGTTCAGGACCCCTGGAGGAGAGCTAAGTACATTTTTTATTTGGATAGCCTCTTTTGTGAAGTGCATGTTTAACCCTTTTATTCCTTTTTTTTTTTTTTTTAATAAGAGGAAAAATTTAGAGCTATTTGAAGGCTGATAAGGAAGAGACCACAGGAAAAAGTGCCAGTTAGATGTAGGAGATATCAAGGAAATTGTGAACCTGATAGAAAGGCGTTCACTTTATGAACAATTGGTCCACAAATACTTGAGTACATACTGGTCAGGCAGGCACTGTGCTAGGAACACCTGGACTCTTTCTATTCCATTCCCTTCATCAGTCAGAGAGACCTTTCTAAAGGCAAGTATGATCCCATTCCTCCCCTAATTAAAAGCCTCCAATTCTTTCCCTCCCCTTAGAATGAAACCCAAACTCCTTAAGGTGGCATTCAAGGCCATGAACAATCCAACCCTTGCCTACTTCTCCAGCCTCTTCTGTTAACCCTACTCCTCTTACTCCCAGGGTTCATCCGCACCCACCACCTTCAACTTCCTGCTGTGCACCATAGTTCTTCCCACCCGGGCCCCGCCTCCAAACGACCTCATCTCATCCATCAAATCCCCACTAAACTGGATCTCCCCAAGGAAGCCTTTCCAAACACCACCCTCAGTTCAGCATCTATTTCCTTAGTATATATCCTCATGACAGTATCTACTTCTCTTAGTATTCACACTACTCATGAATGGGTTATGTACATTGTTACATGTTTCATATCTCTTTTCTCTACTTCAGGAGGGTACAGTCTATACCAGCTTCTCCACCCTGTCCCCAAGGTACTCAATAAATAGATGACAAATAACGAAGGCTGAAAGTACAAGGATGGAGATGATCTGTTGCTCTTCTTGTAGAACTTATAGTATAGGTAGTGTGAATCTTCCAAAGACACAGACTAAATATTATAAGATTCAGAGGAAGGAGAAGGAAAGGAAGCCTTCCTTGAGGAGGTACGCCTTAAAGAGCCCATAGAGAAGACTGGGAAGGACAAGAACAAGACCAGATGGAGGCCAGGGGACGTGCCACTTGACTGGAACACCATAAAAATGGGAAACTATTCTCTTCTCTGGTGGATTCCCAGTGCACACAGTAAACACTCAACATATACATGTTAACTTAAGACATTAATGAATATGCCCAGTGTGTTAAGAGAGCCTGCTTCATGGGAAAGCTTAGGCAAGAGGTTGGGAGAGATTATCATGGGAAGAGTAGATTGAAGTGTCAAAGGAGGACATTTAGTTCCACTTAGTTTGGGTTTGTTGGTCTGCATAGCCAAGAACTAACTACTATTTTTAATTTTTTCAAAACATTTAAAGAAATTTTTTAAGTTAAAAAAAATCAAATAGAACAGAATTATATGAAACAAAACGTTCAAGCCTCCCCCCCCCCAACACCCATTTCCCCAAAGTAGCCATTGCTAACAGATGGGCATATATTCTTCCAAATATGTTCAAATCATATACAAGTATATTGGAGATTTTATATATATATATAAATGATCCCAATATATAAATGAGAATCATCCTGAGCCTACTATTTGGCAAATCACATTTTCCATTTATCAGTATAGATAGGATCATTTGTACCTCTGCACATATAGACTTTCCATATAGACCATATAGACCACATATAGACCAGTACTTTGGTAATGGATGTAATGTATTTAAGGAGATTTTCTGGTCAAAGAAGAAACAGGAGCAAAATAAGATAAACTGAAAATCTAGGATGAAATTAGGATGGATCAAAACATAATGGAGGAAATGAGCCATCTGTGGAAGTGACCCAAAAGACTGTTTGAAAATGTGTGACTAAAGAATTTCTGAAACACCCCAAATCCAATCCCAGTCTAACTGCACTATATCACAGTTATCTGTTTATGTGTCTGTCTCCCTGCTAGACTACTGCCAACTAGTTGAGGTCAGGGACTGTGTATCCATTTCTGTATGCCAGTCTGGTGCCTGGGATGTAGTAGGCACTCAATAAATGTTGGTTGAATTGAACGCGTGCACATCAGCAATGTACACCTGAGTATGATCATGACCAAGAAAACATAAACTAAATTTATTGCAATATATTCTGTCTATAAGGAAGGAATTACTAAAGAAGGAATTACAAAAGAAGGTGGGGAATCATGATGGCTTTAGAAAATCTATCCACCTCACCTCAATTTTCAGTGCAGGTATGAACAGCCACACTGTCATAAATTTGAATTTCTATAAAAATTTTAGGAAATCAACAAAACAACAAGAGTTGTATGACTAGTGTTTAAGCACGAAATTGAATAAGTTCATGTCCTTTAAATTTTAAAATTTAAGTGTGTTCTCT